TTAATCCTGAATTGAATCTCTAACCCAAAATCAGGACCTTATCTTATAGAGCCGAGCTTTGGGACCCATAAAGATAATCCCTCCATCCATCTGTCCAGCCATCCATTATCTTACATGTTTATCCCTTGTGGGGTCGCCAGGGGTGCTGCTGCCTATCTCCAGTGGTCAATGGACGAGAGATGGGGTACAACCTGGACGGGTCCCCAATCCATCACAGCCATATGAGGAGAATCTGTCAGGAAAATGATACTTACAATGTCTCACACACAGACGCACACATTCACTGTCTCTTCTTCTCTCTTTCTGTGTAAACACATGGTGTTCCTCCAGGAGGAACACTATAGCTGAGGAAAAACACCAATAACAAGCATAGAGTTAAGAGCCAGAATCAATTTCTCACTGTGTGTGTGTGTGTGTGTGTGTGTGTGTGTGTGTGTGTGTGTGTGTGTGTGTGTGTGTGTGTGTGTGTGTGTGTGTGTGTGTATGAGGCACATACAGCAAGTCCTCTTTGGAAAGTGGTGATTATACTTAGATTTAGAATTACTTTCGGGGAAATTACTGTAATCATTAAGGGTGAGGGATATACGGCTGTGTCTGTGTGTGTTTGTCTGTGTGTTTGTTTAAAGGAAGAAAGTTAAAAGCAGCTTCTATATTATAGGAAAATTAAAAATGCCTATGAATAAAGAGAGGACACACGCGACCTCTGCAGTCACTTACTAAGTTGACAGTGCGCTGTGCACCTTCCCTTCTTGCCGTGGAGATTATTGCTGTTTGCTTTTTCGCAAGAACATCCTCCGGTTGATTGTGGGAACGTTGCTGCAACGAGTGCACAGCTAAATTAGAAATGCTGACGGCAAGAGTGTGCTACACTGAAGCCATGCTGCATGCTCCACCTCATCCACGCCACATTTACAAGGAAGCTGAATCTGTGCTTAAGGGTTTACATTTGTGGGACTAAGTCCTGTGTGCTGCTGCGAGAGCAATGTGAGAATTGGTGATTCGCTGTAAGGGGCCTTAGCTTTGAATACAATCTCAATGAGTGCTGCACCATATTAACACCGGGTTATTTTTTTTCTATTACTTGTGGAAGCTGTTGCTTTTCTGCAGACTATTATTCATAGTTGAAATTAGTTTGTTCATTCATTTGGACACCTTACTATATTCCGGATATAAGTTGTCTCAGTTAAACACTTTTTGCAGCCATCTGCAAATATATCAAACATCCTTCTGAGGAAGGTCAGGGTCACTCCTCACTTTCAACTTCAAGATGTTTTAGCAGTGTCTTGCATATTTAGCTCATGTCAATTTACTGCCAGGACCTAAATGAGATCAAGATATGGCCTTTGACTAGACTATTCCATGACTTTCCAGTTCTTCAGTTTTGGTTTATCGCTAATATTTAAAATTTGCCCACAGAACATCTGTTCTTTTTCTAAGTGGGGAGCTTTAGCTCTGTTCTGACTCTTGCATTGGGTTCTAAGGAAATCTTTTTTGTCTTATCTTATGTCGTATCAATTGTTTTATGTGTTCAACCAAACATTTTCTAAACGTCATCTATCATTGAAACTTCTGCACCGGGAGATGCTGAGGTCATTTCTATGGGGAGAACTAGTGAAAGAAAAGTTAAAAGTTTCAAGGTTCTAAGCAAGACTGAGTCTTTAAGGCCTTTATAAAATTCATACTGCTTTGAATTTACAAGACGTAAAGCATAGGAGATCATGCTACATTATTCTTTACACTTAAAAACATATGATTTCATTTCTCAAAGGTCGGATATGCTTTGCATAAAACAAGAGTTTTTCCTTTTCCTGCTCACTGATGGAAGCTGAAGCATGGAGGACGAGTGAGAGAGGCATGCAGGGATGAGGTTGGCTGTTCATATGGTTGCACAGCCTTGTCGTCGTGGGCGAGGAGGAGCTGATCAGCAAGGGGGAGCAAGCAGCATCTATCTCTGGACAGCAGACCTGCACACTCTAATGCTCTCCGTCTTCCACAAAACAAAACAGCTCACTTACTCGAGCACAGCTTTGGTTTCCAAATCGACACTCATTTGTCCTCTTATGCAAATGAGTGTGCATAAGAGGACAAATACTTGCAGGGGATGAAAAAAGAAAAGAAATACATCTTACATATGAAGTTCACTCCTGTCAGGTATGGATCCCCAGGACATATTTGGTGAAATTAACCTGAGGGTTTTTTTATATATAGTTAGCTATAAACAGAATATATCGTTAACTATGTACTATAACTTAAATTTATAACTTTATATATAACTTAAATTTATAACTTTATATTTTTACATTTCTGAGATTAATTGCCAAGTGTCTCGCTGTTTTTTTATTTACTATTCTGGAAGGACAGAGGAATTAAGGGACAAAAGTGACAACACCAGAATGAAATGAACAAAAGCTGCAATGACACCTCCAGAGAAACAATGTAGACTCATTACGTAAAAACTAGGAATGTAATTATTTTGTCTATCTGAATTAAGAATGCAGACAAATGAAAAAAAGAATCCTTATTTTTCTAACTAAATTATATTTCACTTGATCTTCGCTCCCTGTCTTGCTGTCCCCAGGGGAAGAGCTTGCCGTCTGTTGCTGAGAAGAGAAGCACTGCAGTCACACTGCTGTCACAAAGTAGGTCAACCTATCCCACATTTCACTGCATGCCCAAAGCAGATGGGTGACAGCGGTAATTGGCATCAGGGGCCGAGGCGTGCTGTGATGGCTCTGTCTCCTGAGATAATGCATCTCTGCAGGGGTGGTTAGTGAAAAACCTGGCGAGCAGCGCCAAAGCAAAAGGGAAACAGCTCCCTGTCCTGGCCTGAACAATGTGGCGCAAAAGCACGAGGTCAGAAAGTGTCAGGATTTTCAAAGATTTATCACATCAGAGACGGACGTGTGCCATTTCTATTTAAAGCTCTATTGTGCTGCTAAACACAAAATTAGCCTCCACCTGCTGTGCCTTTGGCTGATGCTTTCTGTAAAATATTTCGAAACACAAACATCTTTTATCCCACACAAAAAAATGCACAAAAAGGGTCAATTTAAAACAAACATACAGTGTAATATATTTTAAATCGACCATTTACTCCTATTAAGGAGAACCAATTAGGGAATAAACATGTTATCTATGTAATTTGACAGCTATCAGGGCAGATTAAGGGTCTTACTATCTCTGATAATTGCATGTGATGTGGGAATATCCACTTGAGTCAGGGTCTTCCCTTTCTGTCCATCATTGAGCGACTGTCCCACCAACTTAAAGTGAACAAAGATGGACACCTAGTGGTAGAAAAAGTAAATCAGGAAAATAATTTGCTTGCATTAAAATGTAATTTATTTAGTGCAGGTACAAAGCACCATCTTATCTACTTATCTCTTGAAAAGGCACTCTAAAGGATCAGTTTCAGCTGGAAACCTTATCAGAATGAGAAATAATCACTAAGAGAATATTTTCTTTTTCATGCCTTGTGACTTCTGTAACTGCACACAACAGATTAACCCTTTATCTTAACTCAGAAGGATCTGTGGGACCCTGTCTTCCACCTCTTTGTTTTTCACTGTCTTGATACTTGATAATCTTTGCCTGCTCAAATCTTATCTTTTGCTTCTAAATACACATTTGAACGTGACTTCCCATCTGCTTTTGCAGTGAACTTGCTGTTGAATTAATGACTTATTCCACTGTCAGCAAGCATAAAATAAATGCAGATATTTACACCGGCTGTCTTTCCCATCCTATTGGTTTTGCTCTATGGAAAAACTTCTACTTAAAAGCATGATGGGCCAGACTCCAAGTATGTATACATTTTATAATTTATCATATAGTTGAATAAATGTCTAGGTTATTTCATGTTGAGGGTGAATGCAAGCAGTGGTGTGACTTTTCCTATGCACAATGCTGCTTTCTGTCCAGGGTGGAATACAGCTGGGAGACTGCATAAATGTTAAATGTTATCCAACAGTTGCGTACTAAGAGTACATAGTTTAAATGCTCTTCCAGTGAATTATGTCAAGCTGCAATTTTTATATGAAAGTTAGTTCACTGAACTCTAATGGTCTCCACAGTCGGTCCAGTAGATAAACTTTAGTATGTGGTGGAACAAGAGGTTTGCATCATGGTTTTTGAAGCCACAACTTTACCAGCAGATGTACGACATGATGTTGTCAATGTGGATCAAAATCTCAAAGCAATGTTCTAATATCTTATTAAAACAATGCAAGTTAGATTTAAGGCAGTTCAAAGAGCCAAAGCGACGTTTGTTCTGGTACAATAACTGGAAATTAGTCTAATTGGTTGGCTGGTAAGACTTTTTGCATTAGGCTACTCCCTTATTCAAAGTGCTATCGCTGTTTTAATGAGAAGAAATATTTATATAAATAAAGTACAGTGAAATATTGAAACCTTTCTAAAACCCTTCTCTTATTTTAAAGGTTCAATCTAATATACCAACAAATTTTCCTATAAAAACAACCACAGAACATCCATTGTCTTCCATTTCTCATCTCTTAAAGATACAATCAGCATTAAAAATGCTTTGCAAACAATAATTAGGTTCTAAGAGTAATTTTCAAGCCCTCTGAGGCCCTTAAGTTGCTTAAATATTTTATTCACCTTGATATAACAAGCACATTTGATATGCTTTAATAAATTAGTCACATCCTTCCCAAGTGTTAATTAGGATAGCATTTTGCCCTCTTATAAATACTTGCTTTACTAAATTTGATTTAACAAGCATGTAAAACATTCTTTATCTATACGTGACCTAAAACTACAACACTAAAGCCTTTTTCTCTTTAATAAGACTAAAACCAAACTTTTTTGAGCAAACACATACAATACAGTTCTATCAATGATAAAGCAGCAGCTTTTTTTTTTCATAAGGCACATTTATCAAAAATAAAACTCTATTACAAGAAAATGGACATATACACTGTTTTTTTCTTGTCACAGTTTAACATCATACCTCGTTTAGTAAAAAACCGTTTACAAAGTCTTTTTATTTCAGATTTATTGTAGAGCCTTAGTGCACTGAAGGTAAATGATCACACAGTCGCCTTAAGGCTGATAGAACGGCAGAACCCGGGAAATTTTCTTCCGACAGATGGGGCACTTTTTTTGTGGGAGGGCCTGGTAGCAGGCAAAGCAGCAGCACACGTGTGCACATTCCAACAGGATGCAGTCCCTTGGTTCACTGAGACAGATCACACAGACATTCCCCATTTGATTGTTATCTTCCTCTTCAGAACTTTCTCCATTTGCTCTTTCGGCACGTTGTCTTGCGGCTTCAGCTTGCCGACGGGCAAATTCCCTGCATATTGCCTCCTGGTCCCAGCGATCCTTAATGGTGCGGTAGAATCGTAGGCCGGCCCAGAAGAGCACTGCTGTCCCGGCCAAGGCGGAGACAACAGCGAGCACCTTCCAAAAAACAGCTATGTTGCAAGATTCATTTCGCAGGTTTTCAAAGTCTGTCAAGCTCAAAAAATATGGAGAATTATCAGAGGGGGGTCGAAGGGTCACGGTGCCGTCTGTGTCTAGGGTCAACTCGCCGATGCCGGTAAGAGTTGTACCCACCTATAAGACAGTTTGATTATCATCAAAAATATCTGCTTTTGTAAGAAGCATCACAACTATGAAACATCTAAAGAAACACTTGTTAGATTCATCTCCAAACTGACCTTAAGCATTTCTTCAATCTCCAGGACTCCTTTAGGCTTTTCTCCACTGAGGTAAAATCCTACAAGCTCTCCAAAACTAAGAGTGGGCTGGTGAAATTTCTCATTGATGACTTCTGTGTACATTCCATCTGCATGGAGAGGAGACTGAACTTTCACCGCAGCCTTGTCTAATCCAAACAAAACAAAGGGGACCATATTCACTCTTTGGTGTAAGATGCGTTCTGAGTCCGTCCTGAAAGAAAAGGGAAAGTGGTTGAGCAAAAATAAAATGTAAAGGTTTAAACTATGTGTGATGATATCATGCACTTTAGGTATTACTGAGTTTACAAATGTAAGGTCATTCTTAAACAAAGTTTTTCATAATTGTGAAGTGGAATAATTTTTATACAGTTTAAAAAATAATAATAATAATCTTGGTGTACATTGGTAAAATCAAATGCCATCATAGGTCACCTAATTAGGAAATAGACTTTAACAGTCCTTTATATCGAAATAATTCTGTTTCATTCAGTTTTAATTTATGCTCAAAACAATCACAATGTTTCTCTTTGGCCATGTTGGTTAGTAAATAAAATCTTTCTGTAGATGACGCCATTTTGTAGCTGGAAAGAAAAAGTTATCAGGGAAATTTTCCCGTTCAAGCTAAAGCTCTGTTCAGTAAATGCAATACTTATTACAAGCTCATCACAGAATGATGTGACATATACACTGATGTATATGATGTATATGGTATCCAGAGAAAGTATCCAGTATCCAATACGAGGAACATCTGTAAGGTATTTAAATGGCAAACAAGCTATCTCAAAACATATGAAACAATAGTTTGAAACTTGATATAATACCAAACATTTATATTACTCTCACCATGTGCGGGAAAAGCTGCTCCATATCAGCCTGTGCTCTTTAATTGTAAATTTTTGCAACACACCGGAAATGTCTTTGTTGAAATGGCTTGTTAGAGTCTCATCCACTGGTTTTACTGTACCTACATGTGGACACATATGCCAAGGAGCAGGAAATATGAGCCACAAATGTCTTTCATTGCACTAAAACAATGCATTCAGTTCACATCTGAAGGTATTGTATTAAACACAGTGAAGTTCTGATTACCTTCAACCACAGCATACTGTAGGCAGTGTCCAGGAGTAACTTTCAAAAGGTCTTTGAGTTTTCCATCTATACTAATGTGTGGAGCATTCTGGAAAGAAGATAAATTGGTAAAATATGCACTACATGGTACATTCACAGATTTGCATGTAGTATAGTTACACGATTAACTGGTGTAACTTTCCAACAAAGGCTATAGTTGCAGCGAATTTCCACAAAAGTATAGAAAAGTATCTTTTTTAAAAATCTTTTTTTTCCTCAATAGTTATTGTAGTATTACCGGCTGTTATGCTTAACATGCTTCTCATGAAGATTATATTTTATTTCAAACTTGTCAATCTTGCATGTGATGAGGAGCTGACAATCAATTCTGCAGCTTCAGAAAACCTGGATCACTTGCAAGCAACAACTCAAAGGTTCAAACACTCTTTAAGCACAAAAGTGCTGAAAGACATTAGATGAACACATTTCCAGGATAAGTATATTTATATTTAAAAAAATACTTACTTCAAGTTTCTGAACTGTTAATCTATTTCTTTTGTAAAAATAGTAAAAGACACCAGAGAGGCTCAAGCTGGCACCAAAGCACACTGTCTCTGTGAAGGTCAGAGGAAACCCATCCATTCTCTCTGGGCGTCCTATCACAGCCCTGAAACCAGAAAAGAAACCACATATAACATGTGAGAATGGGTAGCAAGACTTACAGCGACATCGTTGGTATGTTTCACAAATAGTACAGCCATTTTTAGAAAAGGACACCCATATTTTGTATATGTGTTTTTCGGATGTCTATTTGTTTTCCCATTTACTTTTTTCCATTCACTATAATAGAATGTAATCTGCGGGTCTGTTGTGGCTCACATGCTGTTAGATTTATATTATTTTAGAGCCTAAAAATGGGCTGGCTGATATAATCAACTTACCGTTTTAACGCTGCAACAATTTCACAACATATTGTTTCTATTGTGCTACCGGTCCACCGGTTGAAAGAAATTTCAAATACTTTTCTCTTGCTTACACATATGGGTGTACAAATTGTTGTTCAAAGAGTGGAGATCTGCTAATAATTACTGGAGAAACCAATCTTATCCAAAAACTATTCACTGATCTCTCTTGCTCTGCCATGAGAGAGCTCACAGATGTACTAAAACGCATGATTGACAATAGTCAACCAATTCTTGTGAACTTAGTGGCTTAGTACTTTGTAGCAATATTTAGTAACTTTCAGACAAAAAAAAAAAAAAAAAAAAAAACAGAAAAAACAAAAATTGGTGCTGGCCATAATTTTAATCACTATGCATTTAAAAGATGACCCCACCACCCTCCTAAAAAAGATCATTTTAGTTGTTTTGAATTTAAGCCTCTTACAATAAGAAATTTTCGGTCACATTCTTAACTTTAACATTTGTTTTTCAATGCTTGTTTAAATACATTGATACCATGAAAATGTGGTGTTTGAGATCTGTTGCCTCCCCAATTCTAAAACAAAAACGGTAATAAAAGTGTAGTTTTCTTTTACCATAACTGCATCAATATAAGTAAGTGTGATTCTCTTAATCGGGGGTTTTCAATCCATGTTATATCAGTGCAGCTAATGAAAAAACAGCAAGCGAACATTGCGGTCATTGCAATGAATAAAAAAAATACCCATGTAGAAAATCACAACATAATTTGCTTACATTTGAGAAAAGAAAAAAAGATAACCACAGACGTTTTCTAAATTGTCGTAAGAACTTCAAAATAGGGATTTTAAAGAACAAATTGCCCGTGAACTCCACACCTGTTATTGGTACTTCAGACTCGAAGTTAGTTTTGAGATTCAGTAAAACTGTCTCCCTAAAACCTCGAGAACTGGTTTGCAACAAATGCAATTGTTTTGTCTCGAGAGCCTGTCTGCTCCCCATGCTGTATCATCTAGATTATATTGACTTTAAAGCCCACTACATTGCTTTTGCTAGTTAGCTAGCATGCTAACACTGCCGGGAACTAACATTGACCTCTACAATTAATTACTCTAAAGTAACGTAAAGCACCGACATGACTCATAACATTCAGGTAATACAAGCACATGTTTTTAAATAACCTAGCACATAAGTTACCGCAGACTCTTTGTTACCTTAAGGACAAAATGAAAGTTGTCAAGCTAACACTTCTGTGTCACGTCACGTAGACAACGGCGTGGTCACGTGACAGATGCTGGCTCACTGCATCTCCTCCACGTCGCCTCTAAGCGCCGAGATGGCAGGAGGTGTGCGGAGAAAATCCCCCAGCTCCCCGTCCCCTCTGTGGGGGAAACTCCACACTCTTTGGCAGGACAAGCACTTGGTCCTGTTCAAAACGGAGCATACGTTACTGGTTGTTTCAGTGCTATGGATCCTGGAAATTGGAATAAACTTGTGGGTCATACAGAAAGTGGCATGTAAGTTGCCGCGCTGCTAGTTAGCATGCTCCGGTGCGATGTCGTGTTCCTGAAGGCGTCCGGATGCTAAATGGCTAGCATTAGCAAAGCATTGACTGAACTCTTAACACCTGTCACTGGATAGCACAGTCTGTCTGTTATAGCGTCAAACGGAAATGTTTGTTTTAAGTAACATTTTATAATAATTTTACAACATTATTAGTTTTGCTGTATATATGGTGTTTAAGTTTACATTTTGCAGTGTGCATTCATAGCATGGATTCTTATGCGTATTTGTGGTGACAATCTGATTAAGTAATATAGTTGTAAAAAAATAAAATGTTTGCACGAAATGCAGTGGAAACATTGGCAGTGTGTGATATCATTTTGGCTGTGCAAAAGTTATAAAATCAGGTTTTGAATTTGCATCGTTTTTGAAAACAATCTAGTTGTTTGGGGAGTTTTATTTTCAATAGACCTTTATTTATTTGAAAAGCATTTTAAAATGTGAAAATTAATTACACCATTTTACCCCCAAATCACAAAGTATTGCTTAATTTTAATCTAAAACCGTGAACTGTGATAAGAGCAGAGCATCTGTTGCTGGAAAAGCAATGGTAAAAGAGATGAGATTCACTGTTCTACATAATATGCAACTGTATTGCATATCAGAAGGGTTAGAAAAACATAATTTGCTATTTTTCTATTATTAGTGTCTATTATTATATTGATTAGGATTAATTCACATTTGCCTGACTCCTTCACATTATGTCTTTGAGCCTTTGTGAGATTTAGCATTTTGGCTTCAGGTGATGGGTAACCAGTTATACTTAAAGTCCCTCCAAATAGGTACATATGTATTTGTGAATGCATGGCATTTGAAAAATACCAGGGTGCTATGTCTCGCATTAAATTAGTCCTTCATGATAAATATATTTGACACAGTCACATTGCAATTAGTGTTGGATTTGTTGTGCAGCCCATTCCAGGCTTAAAAGCATAAAATGGCTGACAAACGTTAATAAGAAAAGAAAAGGCTCTATTGCTACTGAGTAGTACAATTAACTTATAGGTTAATATTATTATCTGTAGATTGCCATTCCTAGAGTGAAAGAAAAATGTAATTTAGTATCACTAACAGTTTTATATTAATAATCAATGAATGTGACATGTTGTGCAGACACAGAGATCGACTGGAAGGCGTACATGGATGAGGTGGAGGGGGTCATCAACGGTACCTATGACTACACGCAGCTTAAAGGAGACACCGGCCCTTTGGTGTGAGTTTTGCAAAGAGGTTTTTGCAACGTCGCCTTCTCTGATCGTTCTAGTTCAGAACATGTCAATAAATCGATCCTCCTGTTACTCTAGGTACCCTGCTGGTTTTGTCTACATCTTCATGGCTCTGTACTACATCACCAACCATGGGGTGAACATCCGCCTCGGCCAGTACATTTTTGCAGTGTTCTATCTTGTTACGCTGCTGCTTGTCTTCAGAATATACAACCGCACCAAGAAGGTCTGTCGGCTTTCTAGCAAAAACTCTGGTTATGCCTTGAAACTCTAGTCTGTCATCTGGAGTTTAATAGCAAAGCAAATAAGTATATGTTTCATCTTCTGACATTTTTCTTTCTAGGTTCCTCCGTATGTGTTCTTCTTTGTGTGCTGTGCCTCGTACCGGATCCATTCCATCTTTGTGCTGCGTCTCTTTAATGATCCAGTGGCCATGATGCTGCTGTTTGCAGCCACTAATCTCTTTCTGGATGGATACTGGACTCTGGGCTGTGGTGTCTATAGGCAAGTGAGCTATTGCTTATTTTAAGACTTCATTATCAAAAAGTATTTAAATTTATCCTGTTCCTTCATAAATTTCAGCTTAATCTTTCCCTCTTTCTGACAGTTTAGCAGTGTCTGTGAAAATGAACGTGCTTCTTTTTGCCCCTGGATTACTTTTTTGCCTTTTGTGGGAATTTGGCCTCATCAGAACAATCCCTAAACTTTCACTATGTGCAGCCATACAGGTAAGCACTCCTTTTAATCTGAAACATGAAACACAGACTTTCTAGTGTCCATATATTTCAGGAACAATAATCCCAAAGTTCTCTTTGCTCACTGTAGCTTCTCCTGGGTTTGCCTTTCCTATTGAACAACCCTGTTGGCTATTTGAGCCGCGCCTTTGATCTGGGCCGTCAGTTCATGTTCAAGTGGACGGTGAACTGGCGCTTCCTGCCAGAGTGGCTCTTCTTGAACCGCTACTTCCACTTGGTCCTGCTGGCAGCTCACCTCCTCACTCTGCTGCTCTTTGCTCTCCGCCGCTGGAAGAGGTGAGACAGACCTGGAATGTGCTTTAATTCCAGAGATAAGATGAACCAGGAGAGACGATTTGATTGAACAGATTAGGTTTTAGAGTTTTGTTTGCCAATAAACTCTCATAATATGAGTTTGTATGAGTCCCACAGAAAAACAGCAGATCTGCCAGAAACTGAGATTTGAGTATTCATTCATAAGGATACAGCTTCATGTTTTGGGGCACAATGTTAGAATAAAGATTCTTTTAATGTTATTTAAAGTTCTAACATGTTCAGCAGTCTGTGTTTGGATCTTTTAGACATAATGCAATATCACTAAATTTTGATGCTGCTTAAATGTTTAAATGATCTAAATGGTAGTTCTAATGTTTAGTTCACTTTCAAGTACTTTTTTTTTTAGAAAGCAAACAGTTATATAAATATTTTTTATAATATTTTTTTGTAATTTCTATTTTCTCAGACCAGGAGAGAACATAGTGGAGCTTCTTAAAGAACCAAGCAAGAGGAAAATCCCTGCTCAGAGCATCACTGTGGATCATATCCTTACAGTTGAATCTTTTTTTACATTTTCATTTTAATGAGAAATACCCATGCTTTGTGATTCTTGTGAACCTAAAAGTTGTTTTAAAATTTGTAGATTTTTTCGCTAGCCTCTATAGCTTAACAAATTATGCAAAGCCCAGCATTACTTTCACTAATCCTATATTTTCACAGCTCTTACTTAAAGCCATTACTAAAAAATCTAGAGTCAGTTCAAACTACTATACTAGAAATAAATTTTAAACTTTTAAAGGCCTGAAATTAATAATCATTTCCTTTGTAGTTTAAATCCTTAACAGCGAGCCACAGATAGTGCTGATACTCTTTACATCTAACTTCATCGGCATGTGCTTCAGCCGTTCATTGCACTACCAGTTCTACGTGTGGTATTTCCACACGCTGCCTTACCTGCTGTGGAGCGGCGGTGTCAAGAAGTTGGCCCACCTGCTCAGGTAAGGTCAAGTCTTCAAATTAGAACTTTTACTTTTGACACTGAAATCCAAATTTGTGATGGAGTTGCATGAGGATAATGATGCTTTTCATTCTGGTGTGCAGAGTTCTGATTCTGGGACTGATAGAGCTTTCGTGGAACACCTATCCGTCGACTAACAGCAGCTCTGCAGCCCTCCACGTCTGTCACCTCATCATCCTCCTCTGTCTGTGGCTGGCTCCACCCCTGACGGAAAAGAAAGGACACACGACTGATAAGGAGAACAAGCGTCACTGAGCCTGACGGGACAGGACGTTTGATCGGACGCTGAGTAACCTCCATCATCCTCCTCTCTATCATCGGCACAGGGCCTGCAGAGGGAAGTCACTGTGAAAGACTTTTGCCAGGTGGATACAAGAAGCCATTTGATGCTTCTCGTCTTTGCTTCCTGCTTTGTCATTCAAGCTCAGCTGCTGATGTACCCGGCGAGTGCACACTGCCGTGGCTTGCAGTCAAAGACATGACAATGGAAAGGATGAATTCTCAGGAGTCTTTTTGTTGTTACATAATTGGAAGTTTTCAAGTGCTGTGGGAAAATCATGGTTGTTTAGAAATAATTTGTTCATATACAGAATGTGATGGATTAACGATAAGATCTGAAGAGCTAACTGTAGATCCAGAAGTGTTAAATTGGCAACATATCAACATGAATCTGATATTTGGTGAAGGCCTCCATTGCTGTTTTTTTTGTTGTTTTTTTGTATTTTTATGCAATATTGCAAATAAACCTTAAACAGTAATGATTACCAGTGCGTATTCATAATTATCACATTACATTTGCATTACTCAGGATACAAAAACTATTAATGTTACTGCTTAAACTTTAAAATTATATAGCTATATGTTATAAAAGCTAAAGTTTAATCAGTAATACTTTTATAACAAATTTATGTCAGATCATGATTTCTTGGTTAATGTCAAGATGCCATAAAAACATTTTGAATAATGTCAACTGCAGATCTGTCCAGGACTTTGAATTAAGTGTCGTGATTTACCAAATGACACTTTATGACGAGTCATAAATATTCATGAAGATTTACTTCATGATTTACTTCATACTTCATGTCCATGTCAGGTGTTATGTCATGTTTATGACGGTGTCATGACAGTCTTATTCACAACCCATCAAATAAAGTGTTACTGTTGTACATTTATACTGCTTATGGTTCTATTTGTATTTATACCTAAATAATATTTAAACCTCGAATGGAGTAGCTTGTCAGCAAATAAGCAAGTTCCTATTGGGTTCAACATCTAAAAGTTGCAGGAGACTGGCTCTCGAAGCCTGGAGTTGCCTACCCCTGAAATAGGGTTATCTGACTCAAATATGCAATATCTACCAGTGGGAGGTCACTGAGTGGTTTGGTTTGATTAGGAGTTCTGATGTGTCACATTTTGTAATAGTCACTCAAAATCAATGGACATGTGAGATATTCAGACTTATATAAACTTAAAACTTAAATAAAAAAATGTTTACCTAAGATTTCAGCATTGTAATACTTGTTTGCTGTTCCTTCTTAAAAGGTATGAAGTTTGCCCAGATTTTCCAGGAAAATAAATATATGTCCTTTGCCTGTCCTGTCATCCACAAAGGGTCCCTGGGGGCCTGGTGTCTGTTTCCAGCATTCAGTGGATGAGAGGAGGTGTTCATCCTGGACAGATCTGCAGGCATCTATTCTGCTCACACTCATACCTAAGGACAAATAGCATACCGAGTATCCCAGTAGTCATAATTTTGGTCTGTGGGAGAAAGATGGAGCACTATTTTGTAGATGTGAACTGACTGAACAAATCAAACACAGATTAAAACTTTTATTCCTTTTGTACACAGTACAACAAATGCTTAGCTTCAATTATGTTGTATTATGTTGATTGAGTGAGCTAAACTTTCATCAGTTTATCTAATAACTAACATGACAATCATTGACTGATTCTTTGTTTGGCATAGTATACATAATACAGACTTTAAGCTACAGTTTAAACTACGAAAAGCTTATTCAGATGGTCAAGGCATTCCTGTGTTTGCATAAAGCAAATTTATAATAAAAGGTCACTTTTGTAAATTGGGGTGGATTTGGCACTGATTTACAGTATCAGCTAATAAAGTACAACTTTTGTTATCCAGTTGTGAGAAAAGTAAGACACCCTACAATAGCCTATTTATCTTTCTGCTGAGCTTGGACATTTGGATATTTCATATGAGATAATTCTAGTAATATACATAAGATAAAACAAAAAAATAGAGAAAAGAAATACATTTTATACTAAATAAAAAAAAATGCTATTTCTGATTAGGAATGAATTAGGATTGCCTCACATTTATTCCTTTTTGTCAAGTGCAAATGACTGGAACAACGTTTTCGAGGCGATTTGCCCAGTTTAAATCTCAGTCATTTATGTTTGGTGTGATCCCGTCTGCTGAAGTTTAGACTGCACAAGTTTTACTCACACGAGTTGTTAAAAGAGAAAGCAAGGGTCCTTTGCTCTCTTAAGAAAAACAGAAAGCCAGAAGCCTTAATTTGGTAATGGAGAATGCAGACAAACATCAGGGCTTCTGGAATAATGTTCTTTGGACAGCTGAGTCTACATGAAATGTATTTGGGCATCAGAAGAGAGGATATGATTGGCATAAATCAAACACAGCATTTTGGGAAAATAACCTCATATCAACTGTGAAGCACAGAGGTGGAAGTGTCATTATTTGACAGCTCACCCTTACATAATCCACCTTTATTCCACCATGTATCAGAGGATGCAAGACTTAAAATAAAAAAGAAGTAAAGACGAAGCAGAATTGGTCCTTACAGAATGACAGTGCTCCCCAAATCAACAGTGAATTCACCAAGGACCATTAAGAAATGGAAAGTCAAAGCCCAGATCGGATTTTTGTGAGACATTATGGAATGCCTTGAAAGCCCTCAAACATCTTTCAGCTGAATGTGAGGAGTGCGACAAACTTTCCTCAGAGCAATGTCAGAGATGGTCAGGGGGATACAAGCAGTTACTGAAGTCATTTCAGTCAAAGGGGCAAAGACTAGCTTTCAGTGGGTGGAGTATTCTAACTTTTTGCTAATTTATTTCCTGTCTTTAATGAGGAAAACAATTTTCACTTTTGTTTACTTACAAATACTTTGTTTCATCAAAATGTCTTGCTAATTACAAATCAACATGTGAATATTTCCTAAAACCAAAATAAAAACAAAGTAGTTGGGGTGTCCGAATGCTTCCACATGACTGTAGATTTGTTTTTGTACCTCTGAACTGACTGTCTCACATATTATTGGGGTTATAACACAGCATGTTAAGCTTGATGTTTTCATCCCAGTGGCGCAGCAGCAGAAACAGCTGTCTGGCTGCTCCTCTTAGCCCTGCAAGGTCCACTCCCTCTGGCAGCTTCTGACAGCGCAGCCAGAAATCTGCTTTTGCTGCCACCAGCTCCCACTCCATGAAGTAGCCGGCACACCGATGCTCCAGCCACGCCAGAGCAACAGCGGTGGCCCAGGTGGAACCTTCGAGATCTTCCTGAGCCAACTGGGTGCTACCCTGGAGGTCTGCTAGCTCTGCTGAAGTCCCCTCGTATATATCAGTCTCTGAACCACGGCCGCTGTCTGCTTGTCCAAGGCTTTGACTGTGAGAGGGGCCAATAGACAGCTCCAAGGATCCCTCCTCAGAGCTCGGGAGATCAGGGGGAGATGTGACCGGGTCTCGTTCTGACAAATGTTTTCGCAGAAGCCTCGACTCCAAAATCAAAGGGTTGTCTACTGGAGTGTGGTGGAAGGGAGGAGCAGCTGGTTTGGCCAGAGAGCACGAGGAAGGAGAAAAGGTGACATGGTGAATCGTGGAAACACCTGGAGGCTTGGCAGAGGTGGACAAAGAGGGAGCGCTGGGAGAAGTGGAGCGAAAAGCTGGGCTGAGGCTACGTCGGTGAAGGCTGTAAGGTGATGCTCTCTTAAGGCGGTCCAGGGGGATTTGGACACACTCTGAGTACATCGCCGTCAGGAGAAAAGCCCCTGATGCAAGTTGCAAATGCACCTAAGAAAAGGACCATAAATTAGTGTTAAGACCAATGAAAAAAAACACACTGGACATACTGAAAAGAATATGCACTCAATATGTGGCAGGTTTTATGTCATTTTGACATAAAAGAGGCAAAGGTTGCTTTGACAACAACCTAGAGGTGAGAAGAAGGCCCAGCAGAGACAATACTTTCAAAGACAAGGAGCACAACCTGCCAGAAGAGCTGCTGGTCATTGTTTACACTGGCCTTATTCAGTCTGTTGTGTGCACATCCATCACTACGAGGTTTAGCTCACCCACAAAACAGGACAAGTTCAAACTGCAACAAACAATTAGGTCTGCAGAGAGGATAATCTGAACTGATCTTCCCTCCATCTAGGGCTTGTAGAAAAAAAAAAGGTTGCTAAGACATCTGCAGTCCTCCACACACCCTCGACACAAGTAGTTAGACTTTAACCTTTAGTCAAATTCCTTTTTTGTGTGGACAAACTTGACAAAGCTGATTTTGATAATGATTTGCACCCTTACTTCCTGTGTCTTCCAACTTCCTCTTGACAATCGTCCACCGATTCTTTACAGGGTTCAGGTCAGGCACGTTTGATGACGAGTCAAGTACAGGTCAATAGCCTCAACCAATAGCTCCTTTATGGAACCAAACTGATCTAACATTTCCTGGTAGAGAAGATGATTGCACTGACTGGACTTAATAAAGCAAGGAAGATAAACACCAGTAGACGAAATAGTTCTGAAAAACCCCACTTAAATAACATCACATCGGACCTCATACTAGTCGACTTCCCAATGGAAATGCAATGTTTATTTTCATGGAAATAGACATTTACACCACTGAGTATCAGTCTCTGGCTCAGCATGTATGTAGTATCTAATAGCATAGAACAATGTGGATGTAATGCCATCAATACATGATCAATTACACCATGTTTAAAAGTAAAAACAAAATATTGTGTCTTGTGCTGGACGTGGATCCACCTCACCAGGGGCTGGTAGTCTGGAGTTTCGCTCTCTGGCTGTTTGTCGGCCTCTGCTGATAGACAGTGAGATTTGAGGGGAACCTGCTTTCCGGATGAAATAGAGGATCTGAGTCGACCCAGCTGGAACCTGCAAAAAACAAAAAAAATTAACTTCGAAAATGACCCAAGTTCAAACAAGACTTGATCAGCAAATGATTAATGATACCAAATTAAATGTGCCTAGAATGTTACTTGTGCTGGAGTCTATTCAGGGCCTACTTTTATGAGTCCTCTACCACCCTTCTCACACTGAATTTTACATATTGTTTCAGAGAGATTACAATATAAACTTTACCTGGTGCTAAAGAAGCTCTCCATTGATTTGCTCTCTATAGATCGCTGTGAACGATTGCACGACATCCCTGTTGTTACAGTAGCCATGGAACAGAATCCACCTGCGTCTGAGATAGGATTGTTGAAGGAAAACATTAAACAAGAATGTTTCAAACATGGTGTGAATATTAGATTTATTCTAAAATATGTAGTTATAATGGAATTTTACTTTGAATGAAAAAAAACACCTTTAAAAATGTATGTATTTTTCATTTTCCTAGACTGAAGGCTTTGTGAAGTAAGAGAAGTGTCCCTTGAGTGTCGTCATTGTTGACAATATTCTCTAATATTCCAAGATGTAAGCTTACAGAAGTGAAAGAAACCCAAAAACTGTTGTAAAGTTTGGTTAAAAGAAGCGGGTGCTGGTATCTTTTTTGGTGTGGTCTACCTGTAAAGTTCCAGGCGTCTTCAGCCTCTTCACTTTCGCCGCTGATCCGCCGTCTTCCCAGACCGGCAGAATAGACCCTCTGCCTGCGACCTCCAGACTGAGACGTTTGCCTGTTCCCCATATGAATCCCTACATGGACAGGGAAATACAGAAAAAGCATAACCAGCAGTCTGACATCTGAATTATAACCCGATTTTCATCTTTTTACCCATGTAGTTCCTGACCCTATAACATGTCTATTCAGTAAGCTGTCTAATAAGTCTGCCCATAAATGCTAATGCAAAAACAAACATTCTCACCCTTTTGCACATATTTTTACCATATCTGAAAAAGTCCAAGTAGCTCTTGGACTTTCTCAGATATGTTCATTGAAATTTTAGCTGATAGACCAATGCAAGATTGCTCATAATTTTGAAGTGAAAGAACAGGGATAGAAAGCCAACAATGTGTATCTGCAGGCCTTTTTAGGTTTGTTTCTTCAAGCGCTGCACATTTGGTCCAAACAAACACTGTCAAAAAATGACTGAAGCTTTTCATAGCCAATGTAACTTTATAACATACCTGTGTTTCGGACGTCTGTGCTCTCTGCCAAGCCTTTGCTTGTACTGCCATTGGTAATGGTGAAGGCTGTGTACATGCATATGATGTTACAGTGCTTGCTTGTTTGAATAGCCTTCATACGATACCTTTTACCTGACCCTGAATGGAAATAAATGTAAGTGACAACGGAAATAAATGTGACATTGATAGTGTGTGTAACAATCATCACCATGTCCAGTTTCGCTCTCTTTTTCTGCCAGCTTTTCGAAGTCCCTTATTACTGAGCGAGCCGTCAGGTGGTGAATGATCTCCTCCCATGGCTTTCCTACATCGTCCCCACCAATTCTACATTCATTGACTCCAGTGGTGTCCTGGTCTTCCGGTGGCCAGAGATGTCCCATGTCCACAGTAACCTCCCAGGACACAGGTTTGCCACTCAGCAGACCATGAATGATGGAGCGACACTGACCTAGGGGAGGATCTGCAGGCTGAGCAGCAGTAAATAGATATTCTGGGTCAGTGAGGCTGTCCCAGTCCAGGGGCGAAGCAGGAAACAGGAGTCCGTCTGGAGGATCCAAAAGAGGAAAGGGTTGCAGCACTCTGTTGTGTGAATATTTTGCTACAATATGGACAATTGCACTTCACACAATAGATGGCATCATGAGGAAATGTGTGTGAATATGAAATAAACAGCTCAAGATATCAGTCAGGACCATAAACCTTGGGGACAAATGGGTCTTTCAAATGGACAATCAGCCAAATTATCCATAAAATATCCTGTCCAAGATGTTAAAAGGTGACTTTGCTATGTTTAGGTAAACTTAACCAATGATATTATAAGTCAGGCTAGTTGTCAGAAGATGTAAGTAAATCTCTGCGAGAGGAGGTATTTAAGAAAAAAAAACATGAACTTTTAAACAGACTTTATTTAGGGGGGAAAAGTTAGAGTTAAACAAGTGTAGCCTCACCAAGGCCTGCATAGTGCCTGTAACACATTCTTAAGAAATACATGTACAGATGAGAAACATTTACTGAAATGTATCATACTAGCAAGTGTTACAGAAAAAAATCTACAAGAATTTAGTTCTTACAGATTTATTTTTTTGAATGGCTGAAGGAAATCACAAACTCATGGTCAGTACTGACCAGTCGTGCTAAAACACATACCTCTAAAACACAGACATCTGAAGATGTCTGTGTTAAGGTATGTTTCACTCTTATGCAAGGGCAAGGGCTTTTTTCTTCTCACAACTGCCCCTCTCCCCCCTTTTGAAAACATGACATTTTAAAAGTTGTGTATTGATATCTGGTTTAAACTCTATGTGATGAAACTGAATTAGAAAAAGTATTTTTTGGACTCTTTCTTACTCACTGGAGTCAGTCAGGCTTCTGTGGGAAACCGTCCCTCTTGATGAAGGCCTTGTTTCTCCCTCACTTTCATCCAACCGTCCTCCAAGAGTCTGGTCAAAGGAGACCCTCTCAAGAGCTCTCCGGAGGCGATGCATTTCCAGTTCACCCTGTGGTGATGAAAAACTCCTTGCTGCCATTGTGGAACGAGCTAATGCTTTCTGTCTCCTTCGAGACTCCTCGCCTCCATCCAGATGCCCATTCTGATGGCACAAAAACAAAAATGAAGGAAGTCCAAAATACGTTTAAACTGTCAATCTAATTTAACAATGGGTAAAACTGTTACTGTCACCTTTTTAGCAACATTGTCAGGAGTTTCCGCTGAAAGGTTTTGTTGCCATGCTGGGTCCGCCCAGCGAGATAAGGATGATGCCTCTGGAGGGGCCATCCTCTCAAGGCCTTGTGGTAAAGACCCTGTTTCCAATACCGGACCAGAGGAGTGGGTATCAGAAAGAAATCCCCCACCTGCAGAGTCAGAGCTTGAGGCATGAATGTGTACGTGGGTCTGTGTCTGAAGACTTCTCTCGCTGCTCAGGGAGCAGTGAGTGAGAACGTACTGCTCCTGAATGTAGGAGCTCTGCTGGATCCTCCGTCTTATATCGCTGGACCAATCCAGCTCCACACCTGGTTTGGACAAAAAGACAGCTGTGAAACACCATGGAAACAATATTTCCAGATCTAAATCAGTTTAGTGACCTGTGTATCACCTGGGCTTATTCCAAGGTCAGGGTCTCTGGCACAAGAGAACTCAGATGAAATTTCTCTTGAGATTTCTCTCAGAGCCTCCTCTAGCTCGGTTCTGTCGGAGTGCATCACCACAGGCATGAGCTCAGATGAAGGAGGAGATGAAAGCTCATCATTCGAATGGGTAAAAACAGAACCCACCGAATCACGGTGTACACCTCTGCAGTCCCTTTCTTGGCACTGAACAATAAAAATGTATGCACATATATTTACCTTTTGAGGTTTCTTCCCATTGTATAGACTTACAATAAGAAACATTAATAGATTTGCTTTGGATTTTATGTGAACGCCAACAGAGACTTTTGTCCATTTGTGAAGTGGATTATTTATATATTATATGTGGTTGTATATGAATTAATAAATAGGGTGCTGTAACTATTCACTGTTTGTCTGTGAAAAGGCAAGCTAAGATTTGGTTTGTGAATCACCTGTGAATGTACAAAAGGTCAAACTCTAAATCATATTGTGACGCCATACCTCCGTCTTCTTTGCTTTGAAATTTGTCATGTCATAAAGAGTGCAGTATCCAACGAGGCGATCTCCGGGGTACAAAGGAGGAATTTCATTGGGTGAAAGGAGGGCCTCCATGTTCTCTGGCAGGTACCAGTCAATCCGAACATCCGTCAGAACAGGTTCAAAGGCCTTCTTTAGAGACTTGATTATCTACAGCAGGGTTCAGAACCAAGTCACAATAAGTTGAGGATTCGGTTTTGGCCACTGCACCAAGATAAATACCAGATCTCCTAACGACCATAGTCAAAACCTGAGGTTCTCAGACTATCATGTTCTGACCACACCACAATCTCAACTGGTCAGACACCAGTTCTGTAGAATTAGCTCCATTGAACTTTTTCGTTACTTACTTCTGTTTTGCATCAAATTATTTATCATTACGTGTAATCTTGTTGCCCTGTTTTTGCTTTTATTTCCTTCTCAAATGTATCTTTGTGCTAGAAAACTAGTAAACAGTTTTAAGACATTTTTGTATGAGTTGACTCTGAAGAAACTGACCAAAGCCTTTGTCATCTAAAATATTCAACTTGTCATATGATGATGAAAATGTCAGGTCGATACAAAAATAGCAAGGATATAACTGTAGCTGCTGTGTGGCTCATGATTCTCCAGAAGATGGCAGTGCTGTGCTAGTGTTGACCTTGGGCTGGAGTCGTTCTTCATCGTCGAAGAACTCTGCGGTCCCTCCGGTCAGTTTGGCAATTCCCTGAAGGAGCCTCCTGCAGGCCCGCGGTCCGAGGCCGAGGCCAAAGCATCTAGAGAGGCATATGAAAGAGGTGGATTTTCAAACAACAAAAATGCACACGCTCACATATTATTGCAATATTAACTGCAATCGGGTTTGAGAATAAAGAACAACAAAGAAGTGCATAAGTTTCAGAGACAGCTGAGATGCCTTGGGGAAAGTCAGCCCACCAGGAGAATACTAATGAGGTAGACAGAGATGGAGTTATTCTGCATGGGGGAAATTGATGGGCGTGTCTCTCACTGCAGAGCAGAGCACTTAAAGGGATTACTGGGCGGGGCTGATTTATTTATTTATTTGTCTCCTTTTTCACTTTCTCAGCTCAATTCCGCAATATGTGTCCCACCTTTTTTCATTTCCGTTGTTCTACCTCCACAATATTTTCGTAATTTCTCCTGTGAATTTTTGACAGTGTGACATAATACCACCTCATTCAGACATTGTTTTCCTTCCCATGTTTGCACATGGTTTCATGGTTTCCGTACCTGCCAGCACATGTGTTTCTGCGAACCAACTCCAGCACCTTAGCCACATTGCTGATGGAGCCGTCAGTGATGATAAAGACCTGCCGTGGATATGAACGCTGCATGGGCTGCTGGTAGAGCCAGGACAGCGCCCCCTGCAGGTTGGTCCCGCGCATATCCGCTCTCATCCTCTGGATGTACTCATAGGCCTGCATTAGAGTCACCTGGATGTATGTAGCGCATAAAAATACGGATCCAATCAGATTTGTTGTAATGACACCTGTAGTAGATGACACCTGTTCCAGTTGACTGTCAGAATAATCAGCAAATTAAAATGTTTTGTTGGCTGATGTTAAATGCTCACATAAACCTATGAGAAAATAATTGAATCAGACCCTCTCTAATAAGGACAGCACATACATAGAGCTTAGCACCTGCTTTAGTACAAACTGTAGAAAAAAACCCCATCCCTGGTAGAACAGGAGCCAGCAGGACATCTCGAGTGAAAATGCATGAAAGGCCACCATATGGTGTGGAGAATTTGCAAAGACTGTTTGTCCTTCCAGTCCCTGGTCTGGATTAAACCTGATACTCTGCTGCTAAGGCAACCCAAGAAGAAACGCTGTGGCCAGATTGGAGGGCAGCACAGCTCGTCCGGCGTTGTTAAACAACATCGACATTCAGGTTACAAGAACTAAATGATGCATGTATATTCTCTCGCATAAAAAAGAATTTGCAACATGTTTTTTTAACAAGTGATGGACTTGCAATCTTGTGAACTCACTGTATGCATCTCACAGGCTTAGAGTGAAGGTCATTGCCCCTTTTCTTAGCATCTCTAGGGAAGCTGTTTTAAAGCTTTAAAGCTTTGAAATATATTCATATTTACCACAGTGGGATAATCTCACAAAAGTAATTTTAATGAGATTTTTAGTAGCAAGCCAAACTGTAATTTCAGCCCAATTCTTTAAATCAAATCCTTTCTCCAGAAAACAAACTCTTAGTGTCTTCTCTTGGAGCACTTCACAATGATTGAGCTTAATGAGCTAAAGTATAGAAATAAAACTTACATCTACTCTCAAGAGGTTTTGCTAAAAAAAAATTTAACGCTTCTCCCCATTGAATTCATAAGCTCAGAATAAAGGTTGAATTTGAAGATTGCCCACAATAGAATATTAGTATATATGAAAGCTAAATATATTGACTTAGGGGTGCTAGTTAATGTGACTGACCTGATAAATAAGACACTGATAGGAAACATTCCTAACAACCATCACTGTGTAAAACTAACATCAGTGCAGAGCTTGCTGGAGGTAAACAGAGGCTTGATGGTGGTCCCAAAGCCAGCTATGTTGATCATCGTACCAGTGGGTAGACTCTTCAGGGCCACTGCCATGGCTTCCTGAGGAAGCAACACATTGCAGACAGCTTGGCATGACATCAAGACACATTCTCCCTCAAAATTTAAAATCGACTACTTTCTGGCAGTTTTCAGTGTGTCTGACCTTCACACGTCGTATGTTGGTGCCACTCATGCTGCCGCTGCGATCGATTAGGAACAGCAACTCTCTGGTAGCTTTGTGCAGCTCCAGAGGCTCGGACAGTAAGTCAGGACAGAAGTTGAGCATGAGCACGGGGCTGCAGAGGACGTCTTTGTGGTATCGTCTACGGATGTACTCCAGCTTTCCAACAGCGAAATTATCACAGGGAGGTTAGATGGACGTAAATATAAAACAAACTTGTGAATGAGATTTTAAAAATATTCGTAAGAATATCTCACCCTTCTCTCAGGGTCTGAGTCTTTGCGTGTGTATCGAATGTAATCTTTGCGAGAGCAGATCTGTTGTTCATACTGGCTGAAGGACAGTCTGCCTTTCTCCAGGATGACCAATGGACTGTGAGGTTCTGTGGAAGAATGATGCATTTCAAAATGCAGCTTTGCACTTATAAGTCAGGATGTGTTTCTAAACATTTCACTGGCAGATTGTCTTCACTCACCACTGAGGTGCAATATTATCTCTACATGTCTATCGTACGGATGCTCCTGAGCCAAAGTGATATAGGTGGCAGATGCACTTTGGGCACTAGGATCTGCATCTGCTCTCAGAGCATGTGTAGGGCTCTCCAAGCCTGAAACAAGGTAAAGTGTCATCAAGGAGAAAAAAAATATTGTATATCATGATGATTATTTTAGTGGACATATTTCTGAATTCAAACATTGTTCATACTCAGTCTGATCAAGTTCAGTACATATATTCAATTGCAAGAAGATTTGGAGTGTGAATTGACCTGTCGAAAACATGAATATCTTTTGACAAGTATTAGAAAGGGGATTTCTCAAGGCAGTTGGTATGCAATGTATTTTATTTTGGACTTTTAGAGTAAAAGAGGCTGATATTAAGAGTGTGGTTCCGTTTTCAGGTGACATGATAATTTATGAGACCAAATCAAAGAGTGCAAATAAATTTTTCCAGGTAATTTAGTCAGATTTTGCAGGGTAAGATTTTACTAGCTAATCTTTTTCCTCCTTATACTTCCCATTTGTCCTTGCGTTGGCTATGTTGCAACTGAGGTTTTTCTCTGCAGCTCAATAATTAAATTTTGACGTGAGACTGCCTCCTGTTCCAGCATGTCATGATCATTTAGTCAAGAACTACAGAATCAGACTTATTTCAGAAGACAAGACAGTACCAGCCAGCAGACAGGCGCCTCTAACCAGCAGCTGGAAGTTGAGTTCATACGGTGCCAGATTGACAGCAGGACTGGAAAAGAGGCCATGAGAGCACTGCTGCTCAGAGTCGACAGCCCGATCCTGCTTCCCTGAGGTAGCACCGAAACAGCTGGTCGCTCTAATACAAGAAATTACTTAAACAAGTTATCAATCCATGGCACACCTATTACATTTTTTTATTCACATTGTAAAAACGAGCAAATATAATTACCCGGTTTCCTCAGACTTTCCTCCATTTTCACTTTTGCTTGCAGTCAACTGGCCGGTTACAACCGGAGTAAGCAGCGTTGGGTAGACGATACGGATAGCTCCGTTTTCCATAGTGGGGAGTTCCAGTGTGGTGCTGATGGTCACAGACACTATGTCCATAGGGCCAATAACTCCACAACCCACAATGAATGTGGTTCTTTCCAGGTCTTCATCCAAAATCAGGTGTCCTTAGATCAAAATACTGACATCAATAAAATATTCCAGACCTGTCCACATAAAAGGTTTCGTCATTTTTAATCTCTCCACCACCAAGAATAAAGACCTGATTATTTCAGGAGCAAAATCTGCATGAGACTAGAATGGGCTGTAAAACTAGTCGTCAAGCAGCTTGGGGAAAAGGTGAGGAGTGTTGGTTTGATGATTAGGAAGTATCTTAAAGTGGCCGTCAATCACCTTTCATGAAAGATCCTACAACATGGAGTGAAGGGTAACCATAACCACAAGAGAGAAGCTTGATAATGGTTCTGGTCTGCTCTGCATCCCCAGAACCAGAACCAAGAGAGGAGAAGCAGCTTTCAGCATCTATGCACCAAAAATTTGGAACGAACTTCCAGAAAACTGTAAAACAGCGGAAACCCTGACTTCCTTTAAATTGCAACTAAAAACACACCTTTTTAGAATTGTTTTTTAAATGTAATATGTAACAATGTATTGTTTATCTTGCATGACTTTGTGTTCTTGTGTTTATGATGTAAAGCACTTTGAAGTGCCTTGCTGAAATGTGCTATACAAATAAAATTTGATTTGATTTGATTTGATGCTAAGGCAGTTTGGAGCACAGACTTAAAGAAACCCAACTGGAGAGCAGTAGTTATGCTTTGAAAAATGGAAATCTTTCCGTTGTGGCACATTTGCAAATGAACATCCAAATAATTCAGACAAAGCTTGAGACAAAGTATGAAAAAAAATTATTTCATACTTTCAAAGCATGAAAGTATTAAATAAAAATAATTAATCAAGTTTGCATCAACTTTATTCAAAGAACACAATTCTCACAGCTAAGCATGGAGATGGAAACATTATGCTTTGGTCCTGTTTTTCTTTTACAAGGAACTGAAAGACTTCACCAAATTGAAGGGAAAATGAGCAGTACAGTCAACAAAACAACTCACAATGTGGTATTGCAATTACAAGAAACATGACATTTCACTCTTTTTGGAGTTTTATGGCTAATTAATTCAGCAACAAGCAAAGAGATGGCTTGTTCAGATCTTCTCAAATCTGGATGAATCAAAATAGAATTATTTATGTCTGTTTGAAAATTATTTTGGTTAATTACAATATGCACCTAAAAATCATCTTCAAAGCATCCCTAACATTTCTTATATGACAACCACATCAATTGATCCATCTTTCACTGTCTCTCTCTTCCTCACCGTTGGTGCATTGTATGTCCAGGCCTGACATCCCGCAGCAGCAGCTCCACTCCTGGCTGCTCCCGTAGTATCCGTCAAGACCAGATTTAGGGCAGCACTCCAAACAGCAGTCCTTCAGCTTTCCTCTGCTCTGGATCTGCACTCCCACCAGCCGCCCTGCAATCATGGCCTCAAAGCCCACCACGACCTCCTTTTCCTCCAGAGGGTACACAAACACACCTGAACACAGAGAGACAGCAAAGCCGGGTTGTGAATGAATCTCTTTGAAAATCCTCTGAAATAAAATGTGACTACGTGAAGTAAAAAACACATCAGTTTGAGATAACTCAAATTGATGTTATTTGTTTTTCACTAAAGCAGATTTTGTTGCATTAAATGATACAACTTTCACTGTAAGGCATGATCTTAAAGGACAGAGCATATTTGCAGTCTTCCTCAGAGATCTGAACTTATATCTCCAATTATTTCTTACAATTTACAGCAGATATTTCTAGAAAAGTCTCTTTAAATTACAAGCCATCTTATTTCCCCATAAAACCTAGAAAAAACTACTGCAACACAAACCTCAGCTTTAAGAGCTGTACCAAAAACTCACCTTCCACAGACTCTGTGTCAGCATTGGCGTATGTGAGTTGTGCAGTGATGCCCATGGAGCATCCATTGGCACAGGACTTGATGCATGAGGCCTTTAGCAACAATGGTTCCCACGTGGAACGGTTTCTCAGGCCCACCATGTTTCTTCAGTACCAGAAAAACCTTCAATGCGCTGAAAGCACTGAATCACAGCCACAGAGCTCAGAGATACAGAAGGGGAGAACTATGTGAGCTTGCATTTAAAGTCTGTCATTTTCACTTATCAAACAATCATGATAATCTGTGTTCATCAAAAGCAGGCTGAGAGCATAAAAAATGAACGAGATCACTTTTGACATTTATATGCAGGCCAGGATGGTTTGTATAAGCACACATTGTCTGTTGAACATGCAACCATCCTGTCACCTGTTCTGCAGCTCTTAGCAACCGCCTCTGACAGATTGTGCAGAACAGGTTTGGTCAATCATTAATGTCTTCACTTATTACCCTATGCATCAGCTTTGCAATCAGTGGTCTGTTAGTATGCAAACCCATGTGTCCCTGCGAATATGGTCTCAACTTCACTCTTAACTCCAATATATCCAAACTTAGTCGACGTGTACAGAATTATTCAGGGTTATCTACCACTTAACATCTTCAGCAGCAGCAGGTGCTGAGATGGGTGTGCAGATTAACAACCCAGTGGTGTGTGTGTGTGTGTGTGTGTGGGGGGGGTGTGTGTGTGGGGGTGTGTGTGCGTGCGTGCGTGTGTGTGTGTGTGTGTGCACGCGCGTGTGTGTGTGTGGGTGTGTGTGTGTGTGTGTGTGTGTGTGTGTTTGCTGTGAACCAAGAAATGGTCTTCTCACATCTACCTTTGTAACAAGATCAACAGCGACCATCTGGCTACTGCTCTCTCAGCTCATAACAAGCTAATAAATGGCTGGTTTGTTAAAGTGCAGTGAACTGCTGCTGGTAGAAAGTTACAAAAGATGATTTGATGCTGAATGGTACCTCGGCTCTCGGAGTTACAAGATAAAGTGTAACTCACAGAGTTACACTTCAACTCAGTGAGTTTATCATGTAACTACTTGAAAGACGATTACATCTTCTAGTGGTTGTGATTATGATGCACATGAATAAATACATGAGTCATTTACGCGGACAGAGAGCTTTGCCGCTTTTCAATGTTTTTTGTTGTTGTTGTATATTTTACTTTTGTGGATAATGGTTTTCTGTGGTTTGCTGATGTTCCAATAGCTTAGAAATAGCTGTGTAGCCCTTTCTGAACTGGCAGGTGTTTGTAATGTGTTGCTTTTTGAGTTCTTTTAGCCTACTTTATGTTGTCAAGAAGGTACTGTTTTAGTGATTTAATGATACAACTCTTGAAGTAACAAGGTCTGGGTGTGGATTTTAAAATGAACAAAAAACATGTGATTAATCTAAATTAATTGATGATTTACCTGTAGGGTCAATTATCTTTTCACAGAATCCAAGGTTAGTCTGATGTTTTTTCTTTCTCTTAATAAATAAAATAATCATTTGAAAAAAGATTGTTGCACTTATTCCACTTATTCACTTGTCTGAAATAGAAATCTGTCAGACATTTACTTTTTCACTCTCTTCTAAATAATTGTGTTCACTGAAACATATGTGACCGGGTTATCTGCATTATGTGCCAATAATTTTTGTTTTTTTGTTAAAATTACTGGCACATATACAAACTCCACATAAGTGGACTACAAGCAGGTCCCACAAAGTAAATATTCTGTATTTACACTGTGAGCTTTAATTAATTTGTCTGATGTTTGCCTTGCATTGTTGTCCAACAGTGAAGGCTGAAAAACTCTGCAGTTGCCTAATGCCGCGTACAAAACCTACACATGAAGCAAATAAAACCACTGGTGAATACTTACTCCACTCCTCAGTGCAATATCAGATCATGTGCCCCGATGTCCGTACTCTGCATCACTCCACCATCTCATCAGCTCCTCGGTTTCCCGGTTATATGTTAGAAGAGTTTTCCTGCTTAGGGATGCTGCTCTCTCCCCTCTCTCTTTCGATGTCCCCCTCTCTCTGCAAATTTACCAGCCGTCCTGTATTAGGAAAGTCAGTCGTTAAAGCAAATCTGAGAACCAGAAGCGGTCTATGAAATTTATAGAATTTGTTGCCAATTTAAAGGACTAAAAAAAACTATAATCGACAATCATAGCTGTACAAAGTCCTACTTTTTTTAATCTTAATGAAAGTCATCTGCTTACCTGCATCTGTCCTAAACTGAGGAGCTGTTAAAAAAAACTATGAACCTGAACCTGCTGCTCAGGCACAAGCTAACACACAACGGTAAGTCAGGCAGAGTCTGCGTTTCATCCAGACAATTGGCCGTGATGGTAGCAGCACCATAATTCATGGCTAATGGCTTGGCTACAGAAAGGAGAGGAGGGGTGGGGATGGGGTGTGTTCAGCCTCTTCCAACAGGTCAGTCAGACAGCAGCAAGCAAGGTTAGGTGAAACCAATAGCATTTTAGACATTCTGTCTCCACTTTAATGTCTTCAACTCAGCACAGTGCAGCGCAAAAGTATAGAGACAGGAGTAAGAAGATATTCAGTATTGGCTGCAGGTTGATTTTTAATGTGCATGAGATTTCCATGTCATTTAGTGTTGAACTGTGTTTTCTCATGTATGTCATACCTTTTATGTACAAAACTCAGTTGTTTTCTCTTAATAAAATGGTATTTTTGAACATTATTTTTCATTGGATTTGTTTTCTGTAACTCCTGCAGCTAATTTTTGTGCCTGAGTGAGGCAGACGTATACAAAGAGAAAAAGAGTTCAGAGATCAGAATAATGAAAGACATCCCTCAGTGAAGCACTCAGGGTTCTGTTTTGATGTTTGTGTTGTTTCGTCTTGAGCTACAGTAATATGGTGCCGCTGTATTTTCCATTTGTATTATTTATTTTTGACAAAGTGTAAGGTAATTTAGGTATAACATAAATTCTTCCATTACTAAAATGTTCTGTTTTTGGGTGGCTGTGTGTTTGTCAGATAGGTTGATAGATCCATTAATGTTTCCAATCTCTGTCCCATTCTGCCACCATGTGGCCTCTTTGATTTCTGGGCCCACTTTGAATTGTTAATCTTTAACTTTTTTTCCTCCATTTCAGCCTTCCTTTTTGGAAAAATGTGAATAATGAACAATGAACAATCCTCCATTTGACAGCTGTTTCGAATCACTTACTGCATATTTATGTTTGAGAGGGGGGAAAAACATGCAGCCACTGAAAAGAAGCAATGTGAAATTCTTGTTCTGTGGTTTAATAAAGTTTTGTATTTTATTCAATGATTGTTAACCAAATGCCAAGAAGAAAGGGTATCAGTAATGACCTTGTAGAAGCAATTATTGACCTCATCAATCTGCTTACTTACCCAAACTGGTGAATAAAAACAAAGAAGTTGATCTTTGATTCCACTCTGCTCTAAATGTACAGACATATAAAAAATGTATCTGGTTGTTGAAAACAAGCATTTTTTATGCCAAAAACATTTAAAACAGTCATATGTCAGAAGTGGGTGTGAATTCATGCCAATTTATTTTGAATTCTCAGGAAAAAAATGCAATAAATACAATAGAATAAATAATTCTGCCAGCAATTTGAATGGATCATATTTACGGAGGCACAAGACTCCCTCGTGACCCTGTTGGGACATAAATAGTTGATCGATGGATGGATGGATATTCACTCTGACACGATCACCCTTTTTTCACAATGTGGAATCCCATTTCATTTTCTACAGGCCTGAGTTATTTAAATTGTACTTGTTAGTAATAGCTGCCATCAGAAAGCCCTTATTCTCTAAAACAGAACACTGAAACATAAATTGGGTTTTCTCTCTTTCAAAGAAGAGAGAAAAGTAGAGATGTTTGCCCAGAACGCATAATCCCGTTCACCGTTTTGAAAATGTGGAGTTTAGGTTGTCAGCTGCATGAAAGCAATGCAGAAAAACTGTTACTTCAAGAGGACACAAATTTTCTCCCAAATGAGTGAAAGCAGCTGTAACACTAGATGTCAGTGTTTGCAAATCAGGAGCAGCTTGTTAATAGTGAACCAAAATCTCTTTATGTCATCATCCTCCTATTTCAGTCCTCTAGACATGGTGCTTTCGAGGAACCAGCCTGAATCATTCTGTGCTTTTCCCCAACTCAAAAGGAAGATCAAAAATATTTTTTGTGTTTGTGGATCTAAATGCTACGCAAAAGATACTTCTGAAAATGTACTGGTACAAGCTAGCATAGTTACCAATGCTTAAATGAAAACATTGAGCTGATTCTGAAAGATTGTGATTGCACATTAAAACTTAACAATTCATGACATTTGAGAAAAGAAAATCTTTAGATGATTGTGAAATCTCTTCTTTTTGAACTAAACTCCACATAGAGCACCTTAGCTCCGTCATGTCTAGTTGTGCAACTGAGGCAAACGTCACTATGAGAAGCAAAATTAGATACTTCAGGTGCAAAAAAGTAAACAAACAAAAAAACAGAAAAGCATTATGCTCCCTTTATTTGATTTCTGAATAATGAACAAATAAACTGAAATCTTGTCAATTACAGGTATGACTGGAAGTCATTATTAAAGGATGAATCTGCTCTCTCGTGGCCAAAGGACAGAAGTTATGCTGTAGTTTCTCATGCAGCCCTGAGATATTCCTATAAAGCCTGTATCAAGCAATTATTCAGTGTTTTATTAGGTCTTCTTTCATGCGTTGAAATATAATTTAATATTTAACATTCAAACTCAAACATTTATTTTCAAAACTGTTTGACAAATAGACTATCTTTTCCAAAGAAGCAATGTTCACAATCCTTTGTTTAAATGTATTTATTCATTTAATTATGAATGAAATGGCATAATTTCATTCATAATGAAATGAATGAAATCAAATGGCAGCTAATGGGATTATTGCGGCCTTGAGGGATTTAGTTAACAACAATAACCAGTTAAAGGCGCATGCAGTCGAAATGCTCCTGATTGACTATTGTCAGGGAGCTCAAGTGTCTCCCTGTGCAGAAATGTTGGGAGCCTCTTCTCCCTTGCGTACCGTTCCCCACTGACCCAGATTTCAATTGTTTTCTCTCTGAGACAATGGAAGAATTGGTTTCATAACTGAGCACAATGGCTGGGTGTTATTCAACACGATTGTTGTGAAGGTGCTCATTATTATGTCTGAGTTTGTGCTGTTTTGTTTTGCGTTTTATGTAACATGTTAAAGCATTCATGGTCTGCGACAGAGCAGACTTACAGACTCAATCACGATGAAGCCTTTTGTAAATTTACTTCCACATGTAATGTGGGGATAATTCTTCACATTTTATTTGAAAAGCAAACAAATCTGTAAAAGGAAAAAAAAATGCTATTACCGGATTGCATAAGTGTGATCACATCCAACTAATTATTTGTTGACTCAAAATTTCTGCCTTTGGTTTTCTGTGGTAGGAGTTCATCATAGACCTCCAGATGAGTACGTCCAAAATTTTTATCCTCTTCTGAAAACATCAGACCTTTGTTATTGGAATATTTAGACCTATTATGATGAAACATAAGAAAAGAAACATCTTTTCCAAAAAGCTTTCTAGTAGATAACAGTGTAACCAATGTTGGAAAATATGTTCTAATTAATTATTTTAACGTGGAGAACCTATTTTACCTCCTGACTGACTAATGTAAGTCAAAAAAGCTTTTATTTGTCTGCATTTTCCTGGATATAAAGCACTATTATCTTAAGCAATGGCCCGTGCCCTGAAAACATGGTTCAGATGTGATTTTCAATGACTGGACCGCCACAGTTGCATGTGTACGACTGGTAATGAAGTTATGAAAAAACAGAACTTCACGGCAGTAGAAACTGAGGCAGGCTGGCAGTGGACAAAAGGGAAGTTGTCCATGCCGTGGATAGAAGAAGAGTGAGCAGAAGGCAAATTAATCAAAGGACATCAAAGGCAGATGAGTGGAGAAAAGGAAGGAATGAAAGAGAGCCGCCCGGTCGGCCCATGCAGCTCCCGCCCCGCTCTGCCTGATCCTGCTCTCAGATCTCACAGTCATCGTGCCATTAAGGAAGGCTGGGAAAAAATGAAACAAAAACATAAAATAAATATTGAAAAAACAAAAGCTAGAGTTTTTCTGTTTTCTAGTTTTCAAGTCTGTAGCCGTCACTCCTCTTCAACCTTATAAAATTTTGAAGTCTTAGCTGAATAGCAGATGGTCAAAAAATGTAAAAGGCTGCATGTTGCTTTCGAAGTAAACTGAAGACCCGACATGGTTACAAGTTGATGACACTCCTTCAGAAATGTTATATAAATTTAACTGTCATTTCTTTAAGCAGTTTCTAAAATATGGCAGTAATTTGTATTCAGTTCAATGAAAAAAGCTTTATTGATCTCAAAAGTAAATTAAGTGATGTAACTCATCGAACACAAATTTCTCCATCAAGACTCGGATGGTGACAAGTGTAGACAGAAAGACTGTAGCAGTCTGTATTTCAGTGTCTGTAAAGATGCCTCTGACTGGAGTCAATTTTATTAGTCTGGTGAAAGGGATGCTCGGGATCATCCACCATGCTGTTAATTTTATGTAGCTATCTTCTTTATTCAATTCAATTCAATTAGTTTATATAGCCCCAATTCACAATATATCATCTCAAAACACTTTACTGACTTTGCAGCAATCCCTCATACTTGGCATGCATTTAGCGACAAAGAAGTAAACCCCCCAGCAGAACTTGCCTTATTTTGAGTGTCTTTCTACCTGAATGATCATCTGCAGATATTCCAGAGCCGTTCCCAGAGCATAGCCAGCATTTTCGAACAGCCTGCTGAGGTTTTCCTGCAGCATACAAGCAAACCAATCTATTTTTTGCATCTATTTTACTAATGTTTCTGCTGTTTTAACATCAGCAGAATAATAACAGCTAATCTAATCAATTTGATTTAATTATATTTAATTTATATATATATATTTATTTTTACACTTTGTACAATTTTGAAAAAAGTGTGGGTACAAATCAAAAACCAAATAAGTTGATCTATCACGATTTATAATTTCAAATGTATTTAATATTGTAATAAATCTTTTCCTAACATGAAGAAATGTATCTGCAAATCAAGTTAATGATCAGCTTCACCTTTTAGTTGGGAGATGTTACTAACTGAATTGGTTAGTATTTAGAGACGTTGCCACAATAAATCAAAGGTCTAAGGCAATTTTGACATTAAATTTAAGGAATCACAAACTGAATTTGAACTGATAAAAAAAGTCA